CTGCTACCTCCAAACACGGAGCAAAGCTGGTGCAAAGCACAGGCCACACAGATGGTGGTGAACAGCGCAGAGCCACGAAGTTCTGACTCATGGAGAAGCCAGAGGAAAAGCCACCCATCATAAACAAGTGACGAAAATTGAAGCAGCGTGTCACCAACATGACTCAGTGACTACGCTCATGTCAGACACACAGGAAGGCTAGACATTTCCTGTCCAATGGCTTTCCACGTGTGAACAAGAATAAGGTCTTTTGAACGTGGGATCTTGTCGAGGTGGGAGCTTTTCTTATTTCTGCATGGCGCTGGGACCACCATGGAAGGGCTTTGAGTGTAACTGAATGCTGTGTACCTCAGGCAGTGTGAGGTCCATGCTGGCAGACGTGAGATGCTGTGGGGAGGCCTCCCACCCCAAGTCTCCATGTGATGAATGGCTGTGGGAGGGATTTCTTCTTAACACAGGCTCCTTCCCTGGGAAGACACCTTGCTCAGGGATCATCTCAGATCCCTCTCTGATGTTGTGTCAGCCAAATGGCTTCCTGTCTGCCTGTGGAATCTGAAGCTATTAAAATCTGCATCCTCATGACAATGTCCAGTGTCACTGACTACTGACTCAGAAAAGCACTGCACTCAGGGTTCACAGTACACGTAACCATCCCTTGCTATAACCAGAGAGCCTCAGCCACCCAATGGCTAATGGATCTATAGAGTAAGAGATGTCCCTTCTAGAGCTCAGTTCCAATTTTGTGTATGAGGAGGGGACAAAAAACAAACAAGCAAACAAAAAACAAAAAGGAGGGCTGACTTGGTTTCAAGAGGGTACCAGGAAGGAGGTGAAAGGAATCCGAAGAAGGGGAGAGCAATTCATACACACTAGGCGGGGCTGGGTGCAGCTGCCAGGTCCCTTGTAAGGAAGACAGAGGTGGGCCTGCCTGAAGTGTGCTTTCTCAGACAGGGTCCCACAATGTGGTGCCCATGGTACGCAGGGCTCATTCTTACAGGCCCACTTAGGAAAGCCACCAGACAGGGCCGACTCCAAGAGCACGATCATCAGCCATGCAGGCGGCTGTTCCCCCGACACAGAAGATGAATAGGCGGCCGTGCTGTGCTGCAGAGCCCTGGGGCAGAGGTTCTTTCTCATTATCCCCTCCATTTTTCCATCATGGTGCTCCCTACGGCTCATATCTAAGTCCACAGAGTGGAGACCTAAGGATCTCACAATCACATTGCCCTGCACCCACCCAAAAACAGGACCAGCAACGAGCCTTAAGTCCATGAGACCCTCATATCTATCTGTCTATCTAACTATCTATCTATCTATCTATCTATCTATCTATCTATCTACCTACCTACCTACCTACCTACCTATCTCCTCTTCCTCAGGGCAGCTAAGTGCTCTGGACCTTGGGGGTCTTGTAGATGAGTGATTTAATATTTTTTAAAATTATTTTATTTCACGTGTATAGGTGTTTTGCTTGCATGTGTGTCTGTGTACCACAAACCCACGGAGACCAGAAGAAGGTGTTGAATCTCCTAAACTAGAGTTAGAGATGGTTGTGAGCCACCTTGAACATGAGTGAGCCAAGGTCTTCTTGAAGAACAGCTAGTGCTCTTAAAGCTGAGCCATTTTTCAGCCCCAAGATAGATTTATTATTATTATTATTATTATTATTATTATTATTATTAGTAGTAGTAGTAGTAGTAGTAGTAGTATATTTAGAAGCAAAATACAAAAGAGCAAGCCATTGTGTCAATAGCCCAAGCTACCAGCAGGTTTTAGAGTGGGCAACCCATGATGCCATCGGACTCTCTCTCGGTTTAGTTTAAACTCCTGGAGTTGTCAGGCAGGACACACTCTCCAGCACAGGTAAAGCAGACATCTGGCTGGTCCATCTTGGAGTGGAGCATCAGATTGCCCATGATACCTCATGACTTCCAGGGCACTATGCTCCCTGGAAAAGTGGCCCTTTCTTACTTTGGTTGGGTGTCCTTCCTGTTCCTAACTTGGTTTTTTATTTTATTCACTTAGCATCAGCTGAGAAAGGAGGAGGAAGGAACTGAGTGGGCTTTGGGGGGCTCCAGTTTTAGGGCCCAATGTGTAACTAAGTGATGCCCGTCGGCAGCTTTCTTCTTAGGGGTGCTCTTTTCCTCGGGTATCTGACTCCATCCACTTTTCATTTTGCTCAGTTTGGTGGAATTGCTGGGTCCCATACTCCAAAGGGTTAGAAGCCACCCTGGAGGGCAGTGCTGACAAAGTGGGTTCCCAGAAAAGACAGCTGCCAGCCAGACTCAAGGACACAATGGAGAGCCACAGTGGCCAGTGTAGGGTCTGGTTTCCAGTGCACATCTTCCAACTTCTAGACAGTCCATGCAGACTAAGCCCAGGACTGCTTGCAGCTGAACATGCTGTAAGGGGACATTTCTCCAGCCTGGTCCCCGCAACTATGGTGGGCACCAGTCTGGGAACCACCATTTTTTAGGGATCACAGAGTTCAAGTTCACCATCACCCCCTTCTGTGCCTCCAACTTCTCTCTCCATTTGCAAATCAAGGAGGATCAGGGCCAGGTCAGCTCCAGAGCCTTGGGGGAAACTAGAAGAGGTAGCAGTTAAGAAGCCACTGGACAGAAATGGTCTTCTGGAGATACCAACCAGCCTCCCCAGTAGCAACTTGAGTAGTTTCCTTCCATATACTCCACGGGGACAGAGGCAATATGGTGGGTGTAGCCTGGTTTACATACAGGCAGAAAGAAGGTGAACCACCAGCCAGATTTTACTTGTTACTAGTTACCAAGTCCCGCTCTGTTCTTTAAGGCTTGTGCAGCACCAGCTGATAACGGGGCCTTGGGTCTGTGACAGGATCTGAGGAAGACAAGACACAAGGCAGGGCAGCCTTCCTTGTAGGTTGGGCTGCCCTAGGGGTAGGAAGGGCCTGGGAAGGCTCAGCGCTGCCGTACATGCTCAGGGATGGAGACTGAGAGGAAAAGAGCTGCAGAAACACAAAGTTCTAGAAGGGAAGTTCTGGAAAAGGCATGCATGGGCTCTGTCACAGGTGGGTCTCCAGGAACAGGCATTCCATCCTTCTGCCATCAAGGCCACCTGGAGAACCAAATCTATTCCCAAGATAAGCTAGACATAGAGCCACACAAAGTGTTTCATCCAACAAAGGACATCTAACTACATTTAATACAGTCAAACCTTTAGAATATACAAGAACTTATGAAGACATCTATTGTACACCTTGTAAACACAGACATGCTCGTGACACACACACACACACACACACACACACACACACACACACACACACACACACTCAGGATGGAGCTACATACTAATATGCTCACTGCCATACTGAAAAGCCCATACGTGGGAACTCACTCCATCACTCATCCTACAGAATGTGCACCTTAGCCTGACCCATCTCAGTCCTCTGCAGGACCTGCCTGCACCGGCCTGCACTTGGACACATTCATCTAAGACAGGGTGTGTTTCACAGTCACATGCTGACTAGCTTCATCTCTCTGCTGACTATGGTAGTGGAAGTAACAGGGTAGCTGTGTGAGATTGCTTTCACCCTGCTGTCCAGTCAGAATGACCTGCATGGGATCACTTAAGTTAGATGCTGCCTGCATAAGGACAGTCAGGCATGGCAGGCACTGTCATTAGCACCAGAAGCTAGCCAGGGATTGGGACGGGAGCAGGAGTTTTTTTGGCATGGTTCTGAAAGGTACAGCTACAGCTCTAAGCCAAGGGGGGGGGGGTGGGGCGGAGTCACACCAGCAACAAACCACAGGAGGATACTAAATGTCACCAAGCATGCCAGGGAAAACACTTTTTACAAAGGTGAGTGTCCTTGAGTGTGCAGGGGAAAGGCCCTGGCCAAAGGTTCTTTGGGGAGATAAATGTGCATATGGGTCACAGCAATCTGAGGATGGATGCTCAAGCCACTAATGTCATGTAGATCCTACAGCTCTGCAAACTGATGCCTGGGAGTCTACTCTGTCTTAGGGAAGCAGATAAGGGCACAGGTATCAGGAGATAGCCCGTTCAGAGTTACTTATAATAATGGGGGAGGGGGTGTCAAATTATTTGCCAAATGTCTTGCTTTTATTTTGTTTCTGAGATGCTGCTGAAGCACTCAGATTATATCCATCAGTGGAATAGTGGGATTCTATGTAAACATCAAAACTGGTGCCATGTATTTGCAGTCATGGAAGACTGCATGTGACCGATCACTAGTGAGATGAGCAGGCTGTGGGATGTACCGTGTCTGAGGAAGCACCAAACCCACATGCACGGAGACACAGATGTCCACACTGGCGGCATCCACTGTCACGTGTGGTGGAGGAGTGCTTTCAACTTCCACTCAGTATGTTTATCTTTAACTCTTTGTTAACAACTGCAACTTTAAAGTATTCCAATTTTTCAAAAGGTAACAGCTTGCTGGAGTGGCGGAACCCAGAGACTAATGGTGAGGACCTTAATCCTCTGCCTCTGCTGGAGCTCATGGAACCACAATGAACAGTCCGCCTTAGAAGAGCTCACTGGGGACAGAATGACCTGATTCCTGCCAGGGGATAAGACTGGGTCTGCTTTCCCAATCTTAAGGAGACCACGAAGGCGACATCCTACGGAGAAGCTGCTTTCCTGCCTTCTGTGTTGGTGCCTGTGCTTGACCTCAGCATGAAACCGTGGCGAATGACATCTAGGCCTGGCTTTGCTCTTAGCGGCTCAGAGCTGGGATCAAATTCAGTTGTTGCAGCCTAGGTTTCCACAGACACTCTCTTGGCTCCTCACAGCTTCCTCCACCTTCACAACTCTAGTTCATATGCAACTGCACTGTCCCGCCACGGCATTGAGAGCCCTACGTTAACAGATGAAGCGGGTGTGGGAGCCTGAGGGACCACTGCCTCACATACATCTCGGGGAAACCTAATACCACTGTCCTCTTCACAGGGAGGCGGAGGGCTGGCCTTGCCCCTGCCCCGTGGAGCTGTACTCACATGTAGACTGGGGTGGTAGGTCAGCACGCCGTTGTCGCACAGGGTGACGTACTTCTTTTTCCACTCTTTGTTTAGTGCCTTGCCACTTCTCTTCAGCAGCATGCCCTGTGGGGAGAGAGGAGCCGGACGTAAGGTCCCGTGTAAGTGGACAAAGGGGCAGAAGACACAAAGGCATTCAGGAAAATAGAAGCTTCCTTTTGGGTTTGCATTGTTAGAGGACATTATCCTTGTTTGTACATTTAATTTGGGCTTTTCTGCTCTTCTGTATTCAACATTACAGGGGACTTGGAAGCTGAACTTTACTATAGACTCTGAAGACCCACCATGCTGCAGAGGGCATCCGGGCTGTCCATCAAACTCCACACAGAACTGAGTCACAGCCAGTGGGAGGTGCCTAACGGAGGGACACTTTACATTTTGGCATTTGTGGCACAGGGAACTGAAACCAGGACCTTGCACATTTAGGGAATAGTAACCTACCAGTGAACCTCCGCCCCAGCCCTAGCCCCTGCCCCCAGTAACATATTAAAGACAGAACGCCCCCCCCCCAGACCAATGATCTTCTCACCTTAATTCTATAAACATGACATGTTATTATTTCTTTGCAGAATTTTAATTTATTCAAACCGAAATTCCGTTTGCAAACTTTAGCAACAACACTGGGTGGGTGAGCTGTAATTCACCTCAATCGATTTTTAATGAAGTCCCATTAAGATCTCTGGGAAAGCTTTCAGAATTGGAAAACATTTTGGAAGTCACATGTGGCCTTGCCTTCCCTGGATGGCTGCTTCGGATGTGTTCCTGATCTAAGTGCCAATTCCCAGCAAACCTTGCATCTGTTCCCAGGCTTTCCTGGGTGAGAACAATGGTTGGGCAACCCTGAGTGGGGGTCAGGCCAACACCCCAGCAGCCCCCCCTCAGTTGCAGCTTTCATGCCAGGCTTGCCCACCCCTGGGCATTCCAATTCTGTCAACATGCAGTAAGGAAACCTCTTATCCATCAATAAACTGCCGCAATTATAATAATGGCTGAGAAGGCATGCACCTAACACTAGCTAATTCAGCCAGACTTAGAAGGCAGGAAGTCACAGGTTCTCAAATACACCCTTGTTTGCTTGGGGACACAGAGGCAACCTCCCTCCAGTGCTCCTCCGATCCTGCTCTTGTCCAGGGATCTCGGGGTGGTAGAAAATCAGGCACAAGGCAGGAAGGAGCTCACATGTTAAGCAGCAACACTGAAAATCCAGCTGTGTTTACTCAGATTATAAGCAAACTTCAAATCCCAGCGCGGGGATCTGGTCCATTCGTACCGTTACTGAGAGATCCGAACCCACAAAGGAACCTTTGGAAGGCCACAGCTCTGCAAGCTTTTTTTTTTTTTTTCATGTAAAGAAAGCATGTGGCCAAAAGTGACAGAGGAAGATGCTTACGATGCCCATCAAAGCAACAAGAGCTCCCCTGCTTGGTACAAATGGGTAGGTGATTGGGAGTCACCCCCCCGGACACAATAATAAACCAACACCTCTCGGGTCCTCACATTTCCTCCCCAAGGACTGCTCCCATTCTTAACCCAGCAACACAGAGCCACACCCAAGTTTTCCAGTGGCCTCACATTTTGCCATCATCCACTTCAGATGGAATTTCAACAATACAGAGGGCTGGGGGGTCATTGCAATGTCACTAGAGGATTAGGGCGGCTGCAGGCTTCAGAAGGACAGGGCCCTTCCTGCTCAGGCAAGCGCCTGCAGATGGCTAACACGACTCCTTTGGGAGGCTGGTGGGCACTTTCATGAGCCAACCCTACGCTCCTAATTATCTTTCCACCAGTGAAGACTATAGAGGAAGAGGAGAAACTGGCCAGACTGGAGGCATGCGGAGAGACAGTTATCTGGGGAACTAAAAAAGCGGTCCATTCTTAAAAAAGACTTCTTTTGCTTAACATTTATTTATTTATTGTGTGTATGTATGCCACAGTATGTAAATGTGTGTGTGTGTTATGTGTGCATGTGTGACGAATCAGAGGATGTGAGTGTATGCATGGGTGTGTGTGTGTGTGTGTGTGTGTGTGTGTGTGTGTGTCTGAAGGGTCAGAGGGCAATTTGCAAGAACCAGTCCTCCCCTTTCACCATGTGAGATGTGGGGATTGACTCCGGTCATCAGGCTTGGCAGCAAGAGTCTTTATTTGCTGAGCAATCCTGCTGGTTCCAGGTTAATCTATTTTGATGCTCCGGAAATAATATTACCAGGAAGGAAAACATGAATGTTGACAACCATGGATAAACTCTACTGCTCCTTGGAGGACACTGTTGGATGACTGGAGGATTCAGTGGATTACTGAAACACTGTAGGAGTAGGTCAGCCTGAAGAGCACGCCCCTGTCCAAGAGCCACCTCTTTCAGCACACCTGCCTTGACCCCACTGACTTAGCTTTGTGTCCTTCCACCCCTCCCTTCAAGGTTATAAAAGGGACGGAGAGTCGCCCCCACCTCTCTGTTCACACGTCCTGGCTGTAGCCAGCAGGACTTTGAAGGTCTTCTGTGGTCTAAGCACTGCCCAGCACCTGCCCTCCCTGAGCACTGACTCTCTTGCTCACCATCAACCACAGGCCAGAGGCAGCAAAGCACAAGGCTCCCTTGTGGACAAGACTCTGGGCCACACAGGCTGAGACATGCAGAACCATAGTGAAGAGTCAGGGCTGGTACCTAGCGTTCTCAGAGGGCACCTGCGAGAGGGGTCCACTCACAGCAATGTAAGATTATATACTGCAGACAAGGCTCAGCTGCCAAGAAGATTCAGCTTAGCCAAGGGACAGGACTGGGTGGGGCTTCCTTTTCAGGTTGGCCTGGGGTACAGTGTTCAGCACTCAGATTCTACAGAATACAATGTATTCAAGTTGCACATTGGCACAGGCCTATAATCCCAACACCAGGATGGAAGAAGCAGCCAGACATCTATGCATTTGAGGCCAGCCTGATCTACATACTGAGTTTTATGGCAAAACAAATCATAAACAAAATACCCCCGCCCCCCCAAAAAAAAAACCCAAACCAAACCAAAACCAACACCTTGTGTTCAGAGTGAGAAAAAGCATGGCCTCAGCCCGACAACCCATATGTGACTGGCCATCCAGGGGCAACCCTGCGGCCACATCCTGGCCCACATAGGGCTGCTACTCAATGGTCTTACATACACAAGCTATTTGTGTTTTGACTGTCACTGGTCCTGGGGATTCTAAAATGCGAAATGGGTACGGTGACAGTTTTCCAGCCTGCAGACACAGGAGCAGGGCAAAGCACAGTGAGGCCTGGAGTAGCCCAAATCACAAAGCAGCCTGGGAACAAGAGTGATCTTCTTAACAGCCACCTACAGAGGCTGGAGGAAGACGTGGTGTGGCTCCTTCCACCCCAGGACCAAAATGTACGCCTGGTCCAGGGTTCGCTTCCAAAGCTCCAGTTTTGGGCCCATGTCAAAGACAGTTATTCTCCTAAACTGCTTCTGCTTTATAAGGCCATGGTCATTTGATGGGGTATAATTAGAATCACCAATGACCCTAAGTGAGGACGCCTGGCCGTTTCGTGACTAAAACAGGTTTCCTTTTCTTTTCTTGAGTCGTACAGAGGGATAAGCACTGTTTCACAATCTGAACAGGCAGAGGTTAAACCACACAGCTCTACATGTACTAGGAAGGTGTGGGGTACAGTCACCATGTGTGTTCCTCCTGGCTCCACTGTGACATGGAGTCATAAGGGAGTCCCAGAATGGACAGGGCCTGTGGTGGGGCAGACAGCTTCATGCTCTGCCGGTATGAACTCTCCCCCATCCCTAACAACCAAGAAAGCATACAAACAGTTCATTTTAAACTTTCAGAGGACACAAAGCCGCAGTCCCGACAGCCAGAAGATGACAGAGGCCGGAAGGCTCCTGGCTGTCTAGACACAGGCGGGCGGCTCCCGTCAGCGCGTGCAAATGGCCCTTATGATTCTAAGTCTCTTTGAGTAACTGTAACCTAGGGCAAAACTGCACAGCAGAATGTCAAGATGCATCCTTTGTCCATCTTTCAGATGCCAATCTGGTACACGTGAAGACAACCCTTGCTTTAGACGGTCGTTGCCGGCCAGCATAGTCATCCATTTGGGAATGCTTCATTTCACTCTCAGAGGGCTGCAGCATTTATTTGGATGTTTAAGTTTCAGGGCAATACCGAGCTTCACTCAAAAGACAAGTTTGTTCCCTGCATGTGCGATCGTTAGTCTATGGAAAGCCAGAACCGGCAACCATTAGCCTGCAGAAAGCTGATGAGCGTTTGTGCACTGTGTAAGTCCATCATCTCCCACTGACTCTGTGCTGCCTGAGATTCGCTTCTACCCATGGCACCCAAGGAACAGATGCTGTCCATGTAGATGTAACATTTGCCATTAAAGTCAGTGAGGGGGCTGGAGAGCTGGCTCAGTAGTTAAGAGCAATTGCATATCTTCCAGAGGACTCAAGTTTAGTTCCTAGCACCCACATGGAATGGCTCACAGTCTCTGTAATCCCAATTCTGGAGGATCTGCCTCCTCTGTCAGCTCCTGCACTTACCCAGATATACATTCGTGCATGGGCACACACACACACACACACACACACACACACACACACACACACACACACTGTCCTCAACCATAATGTCACAAGAAATGACTGTTCTCTCAGATCAGTCCATTCTAGGGTGGATAATACAGTGGCATCTCCTAACACGGTGTTTGGAAAATAAATACCTCGTGGCATTGATATGGACCCAGTCGGCTGGGAAGCCAGCAGGACTCAAGAATGCTAGCAGAGCCTTGAGAAGGATGCAGCACTGGCTGGGGCTGGGCATGGGGTGCCAGGCCACAGGCCAGCAAAACCTTCAGCACATCCACAGACCACATGCCATGTTAAATTCCATCATGAACCTGTGCACATGGCAGTAAGCTTTCCACACTGAATGCTGAAAGCAGTGCTGGCCCCCACTATGGGGAGAAGAAAGGGGCCAAGTGACTTTCCAAGCAGAAATAGAAAAGATAAACAAAGTCCAGGTACCAATGTACCCATCACATAACAGTTCCTGGGAGCCAGGTCCTTCTA